ATCAGGCCCAGCCCACGTGGAGCTTCTTCAACCTCCAGCCATTCTTGTTCAAAAAACGCGCGTTTTGTACATTGATTCAAACATCCTGATTCCTGGACTTTTAATGAAAACTCACAACATCAAAAATGTTAAGCATCAAACAACGAATCCATACATACCAAAAACTTGATCTAACTCTCAGAAATGAGAGAGAATTTCTTCTCCCCCAATTCCTGACCTAGTTTTTGTTCCATGTTCAGACATCAAATTCTCATAGCACACATAACATAAATGAAAACTAATTACATGGGCATGTTCAGGGCTATGAATGTGACATAATTTCTTCACAAACCTAAAGCTAACAATGCCTGGATAGAGAGATACGAGTTCATGAACTTACCTGTTCAGTTGGAATCGTATCTGGTGATGGAGGTGTTTTCAATGCAAGGTGATGATTGGTACAGCTTCCTTGATGTCCATGGATGCTATTCCAAGCTTTAGTTTGCTTTGAAACCAAGAGAATCGTGTTATGGAACTTCAACTGCAAAACAGAAAAATGAAAATGGTGATGTTGATTGGGAGTGTTACAGGTCGTGTTTGAGGCTTGGAATAGTTTCAAGGGATGATGTAGGATGTGTTTGAAGTGATTTTAGCAAGAATGCATGAAAGGATTGAGCTATGGAACTCAATCTGCAGCAGGTACCCTGTTTGGGCAGTTTGAGGGTGATTCTGTGTTTGAGAAGGCAATGGAGATGGTTGGCTCGTGTTTTAGCTTAGGTTTGATGATTGGAAAGTGTTTGATAACTTTGCTTAAGCTCTGGTTTACAGGAATGAGAGTTGTGTCTTGTTATGCTATGTTTCTTCAACTTTAAGCAACAAAGTGTCCACTTGAGTTTCTAGCTTGTACAGGCCCCCAATCTATGCTGCATACCTTGGCCTTGATCAGTGTAATTAGTTAATAAACTTGTGCCAAAAGTATTTGCATTGTACTTGCTTGGATTTGCATTTGACATAAAGTGCAACTTTTCTAGAATGGATATAATGATTTATCTAAAAATGGCTTAATCTTCCATGTAATGCTTAAACACATAAAACAAGGCCTTGGCACAATGAGTTAGCATTAAATTATTGAGTGCAAATTGGATATAGGACCTGTAATCAAGGAATGCAAGCTGATTTCAAAATGGCACAAGCTTCTTTTGAGAAAACTTTGTGAATCAAAGTTGTAGATTTTGCAATGGACTACAACTTTCATGTTTTGACTTTTCCTTGAATCCAAATGAATCTTGGTGAGAAAGTGGGACAAAGTTTAGGAAAAATTAGGGTTTTTCATAACTTAGAAAAATTCTAAGTTATGAAAAATCTTCATTTCAAACCCTAATTTGCAATTCTTGATTTCTTGATGAACAAGTTTCATGATTTGGCATGTTTTGATGAAAAATGAATCTTGCCACTTGATTTTGACCAAAAAGTCAAAGTTTGACTTTTCAGTATACAGTCAAAATTGATCAATTGACTGGGAAATTCAACTGTCAATCTTGTGCATTTGGGATCTTTTGAACTTGTTGAGTATGTCAAGACAATTCCATGGGGTCCTTGAGTCCATATGTGGGCTTGGTTTGCCATTGGCTAGGTCAAACAGTCAAAAATTGCCTTTGTGCAGTCAAAACCCTAAAAATGACCATTTTGCCCTTTTGGTGATCTGATCAAATTTCTTGTGGAATTGTGATCCAAACTTGATCAAATGGTCCATGTGAGTTCATAATGTTGATGTGGGTCAATTTTCATGAGATTTGACTGTCAATTGGCCACAGTTGACTTTTCCCCAATACAACTGATTTCTAGGTCAACTGTCCAATTGACTGGGCAAAAGTTGGAATCAAGACTTGAAACTTGGTATGGATAAACTTGGGAGTCCAACATGAAGCATGAAAGTCATCTTAGGCATTTTAGGTCAAAATATCTTTGTGCAAATACAAACCCTAATTTGGGTCAACAGTGCAAGGAGAAGTCTTGAGCAGAGGAAACCCTAACTGGATCTTGAGCTCCAAGGGTCTTGTGATGAGAAAATGTTGAGGAAATGGGAGGGCAAATTTTGGGGCACAACACTAATGAATAGAAGCCTGTTATACATCACAACCACAAGACCATACATTATATTTTCAGTGTGTCTTCTTAGTAAACACATGGAGAATCCTACAAGAGAACAGTTGCTTGCTGCTAAGAGGGTTCTGAGGTATCTAAAAGGAACTATGGTGTATGGAATATGGTACAACAAGGATACAAAATAGGAATGCCTATTGGGATACACTTATAGTGATGATGCAGGTGACTTCGATGATAGAAAGAGCACAAGTGGTTATGTCTTCTTTCTTGCTGGAGGAGCTGTCTCTTGGACCTCTCAGAAGCAACCTATAATCACTCTCTCTATGACATAAGTTGAGTTTGTGGTTGCTTCCTATTGTGCTACACAGTGTGTTTGGCTCAGAAGAATTTTAGCACATATAGGATGGAAAAGCAGTATGGAAAAGGGAACCAGGATTTATATGTGACAATAGCTCGACAATAAGAATATCAAAAAATCATGTACTTCATGGAAGAAGCAAACATATCGAAGTAAGGTTTCACTTTCTCAGGGATCTTACTAAATATGAAATAGTAGAACTTGAATACTGTAGCACTAAAGATCAGCTTGTAGACGGCATGACCAAAGCTGTAAAACTGGAAACTTTTGAAGCACTGAGAAGCAAAATTGGAGTATGTGATCTCATTGAAGTTTATATCAAAGCTTAATCAACTTCTGGAGGTAATATTATGAAGTGAACTAATTCTGGGACAAGAAGAGAATTTAATTAAGGGGAGAATGTTGTTAGAATTTTAGTATTAAGTATTATATTTAGAGTTTCATTATTGTCATTTGAATTGGTCAAGATAGTTATTTGTATGGCTGAGTCAACCTAAGTTTTAGGAAGTAAGTTTGAGTCATTCAAGTCAGTCATTATGCAAGTCGGTTATTTTAATAGTGGGTTCTACAATTAAGGAAAACGGGGTAGTGGTAAAGTTGAGTCAAACAGTGTATTTAAGCTCTATTGCTTGCAGTGAATAAAGTTGTCAGTTTGCCCCATATCTTGCTCCATTATCAACATCTACCAGTCCATTTCATCTTTTTCTT